AGTCCTCCGGCACCTCTCCAGAGCACCACGAGTGTTCATAAAGCCGCGCCAGGGGACTTGCAATGACCCCAGCCAGTTCCTTTAGGACTCTAGGGTGAAGATCATCCGGGCCGGCTGACTTAAAAACGTCCAGCCCCTCCAGAAGCTCCCTAACTAAATCCTCACTCACTCTAGGCCCAGGTGAGCCTCCCCCGGGGCCCGAAGGGGGCCCAGCAGGGAGGTGGCAGTTCTGGTCCTTACTGAGGAAGACAGAGAAAAAGAAGTTATTAAATATGTTGGCTTTGTCGTCTGGCGTGACAACCAGATTCCCCGTCTTGTCCTGCAAGGGCCCCACATTTCCTGGGGCCTTCTTTCTACTCCGTATGTATTTAAAAAAGGACTTCTTGTTGTCCTTAATCCGGGAAGCCAGCCCCTGTTCCATCTCTGCCTTGGCCTTCCTAACCATCCTCCTACATCCCCGAGCAACTGTAGAATAGTCCTCCTTAGTGATGACCCCTCCTTGTGTCCTATGATATGACACAAGTTGAAAATCTGCCTAGAGCAATGTGAGGTGGAAAGGGAGGTGGCAGCTGGGGAGGGAGCACGCTTGTATGCTTCCCAGCTCCGAGTGCTGCAGTGTGACTTGGGCAGGGAACAAGCCAGAAGCAGACCATACCCGCTAAATGCTAGGTTAGGCTTTTCCAGCCCTCAGGGGCCGCTTTCTGCTCTCTGCTTGGCAGCGGCTGACACACACTACCCCCCAGGACAGGGAGAGCGAAGCAGCAAAGCACTGGCCACCCCAACGGCAGTTCCGTCTCCCAAGAGATATTCTTCAGGGAGACGATAAGCTTCAGTTGTTCCTGAGTTATGTTTCTCCCCACGTGGCCACGTTTACACTGGGAGAAATATTATGAACTTCTGCACTATGAAACTTTCACGGTTTCTCTTGAGAGAGCAGGGACTCTCTCTGGAGAAATTTAACATCTTTTTTTTTTCCCCATAAGTAAAATATTTTGTGTTCCAAGCCGAATCAAATCCAAATCTGTGTGTCATTCAAGAACCGTATGTGGCCCTACTACCAGCAAACATCCTCCACCCCCACCTGGGGCTTTAGATGTTTCCAAATCATTTATAGGGTGTCCTATGTGCAGGCCCAAGCCTAGAGGCTTGGGGTTTGGGTGCCCCTGAGGTTTGCTCACCCTCAGCTGTATTTCCGCAGGAGCATGCTGGGGGGCGGGGGGTCTCCCATTTCCATAGAGTGGGCGTAAAGCCGACATCTCGCCACAGGAAATGAATGTGGGAGGGTAAGTACACATTACCCGTTGCCAGAAAGGTGGTTATCCCCTGCAACTGGGAATACCGCCTTAGTGGTTGCGGTATTTCCCCTGCCAGGCGAGTCTCTTTCCAGGCCCAGCCAGGGCTGCCCTAGGTGCCACTGCCACCTGTCCCCAGGCAGACTGTGGGAGCCTGCAGAGGTGCACAGGCCCGGACAGCGCGCATCGCCTAGGTAGGCAGCTCTGGGGCCCAGGATCTCTAGGCACCTCCCCAGGCCACACCAGCTCCCTCAGGGGTGGGGATGCTCGAGCCCGGCCCCACCTTGAGGTACCAGCGGAAGTCCTCGCCCACGGGCCGCAGCCCGGTGATGTTCTCCAGCGTCGCCTTCAGCTGCAGCCCGATCTTCTGCAAGGCAAGGCGAGGCGAGGCGGGCGGGGTCAGGGTCAGGGTCAGGACCAGGGCCGCGGCCCGCCCGTCCCCACCGCCCCGCACCTACCCCCATGCCGCCCGCACGCCGGTCCCCGCGGCCTCGGGGCTCTGGGAGTCTCGCGGGTTTTGCCGGGGCATTCTCGCGAAGGGACGTGTTGCCCTTAGACAAAATGGCCACCTCCGCCTCCCCTTAGTGTCGTGGGACTTGAGGCCAGGCGCTGCCCTGAGCAATGATGGCCGCCCCCTTGCTGCTCTGCCGGCGGGGGGGGGGGCGTGGTGGCTGCTGTTCCTCCTCGTCTCCCAGTCGAGGCAGGGGCTGCTGCCCATGTTGCTCTGTCATCTCACCTAGCCGGAGCCTGCTAGGATCAAACTGCGAGCCCAGTGTGCATCGGGGAGCAGCCCACCCTCTCCCTCCACTCCTCCCAAGTCTTGTTGGGCTAACAAAAGAGAGCACCTCTGCTATGAGGCCGCATTGCTTCTGCAGCACTGACGCCGCTACAGCCGGCCTTGGAGTTTGTGCTTGGTGCTCTAAAGCAAGACCCAGGACCATAGCACCCAAATCCTGCTTGTTCAAAGTTTCACAACGACACGAATCCAAAGTGCACTTGGACTAACCCAGATGCGAGCACTGGCTGGTGGGACAGTCTCTTACTATTAGGTGTTTCAGTAAGATTTGAGCAGGATCGCCTTCAAGAAATTACCATGTCTTCTTATCAGTATAAGAGGGAGAGTTTGTTTCTCTTCGTTTTATTCAGGCCCTTTGTACGGTGGTGAAGAGCTGGATGCAACCGGCAGGGTATGACGGCATGTTTTTTACTCATTCAAATCTGAACCTCAGTCTTAAGTGGAGCACTTATCTTGGCACTTGAAGGGGAAACCATTGCTGCAATTAACAGCAGTTTAAAAGAGTTAATCTGGATGTCAGTGAGGTCGGTCACTTTGGAAAAAGATAAAGTTTGATGCTGTAGAAGTTTAGCAATATTATAACAAGGGGCAAACAAGGCTCTTTAGGTAAATCTGATATCTTATTAGACCAACTAAATAGTGGGACTTTTTTTTTTAGAAAGCTTTCAGGTTTAAAAACCCTTCGTCAAGCTGAGGAAGCATCTGTAGTTGGTGCGTGCTCTTAGATGCTTCCTCAGCCTGACAAAGGGTTTTTACGCCAGAAAACTTGCTAAATAAAGGTTCCCAACTATTTGAGTCAGTGTAATAAAAGATATCAGATTCACCCAAAGAACCTTGTCTGCCTTTGTCCTTAGACCAACACGGCTACAACCTACACCCCTCTAAAAAAGCCAGGGGAGGAGAGTTATCGAACAAAAAAAGCATCCTGCTGTGACCGAGCTAAGTACATAATATTAATACTACTGACTTTAAAGGTTAAGAGACATGTTCCACATTTCTTACCAGCTATAAATAATTTTAGTCAGAAATATTTTTTTGTAGAAACCGTAACATTTTCTATTTATTTTCTTATAGTAAAAAGAAGTAATACTTAGTTTAATTCAAGGTAAGCTACAACTTCTAAGTAGCTATGGGAGATTTTTTTAACCTTCCCTATTTGCAGACCAGCCTCGTCTCTACCTCTTTAAACATATAACCTGACATTTATTTTTTGTTGTAAGAACACACTGCTTATTCAGCACCACTTAGCAGTTATAAAGATGGATTTTCCAAGATACTTGATATGACCAGGGGTATTTATGTTCTCAACCTTTAAATATACAGTAAAGGTGTTCTAAGTATAATTTTGTCTTGATGAAAAAGATTTCTTCTGTGATTCATCATTATATCTTTATTCCTTACATAGAAATCATTTGCTAATTTTAAAATATTTTATGGAACTTTTTAGGGATTTGACCAAACACAAAGGGAAGGAGATAATTATTTTCTTTAATGTGGATCCATCACTGAAAAGGTAGATAAACCTCTGAAGAGAAGTTTAAAGACCAAGAGCTGCAGTCAGAAAAAAAAGGGTGCTGCCATGAAAGGATGGTTTTGCACATCTTTTATACAGCTTAAAAACCCAGACGAGGAGACACCACCCGAGCAAGACAGGTGACAAATGTAAGGAGTGCCCAGGTAAGAAAGAGGGGTCCAGACAGTCTCCCAAATCGGGGGGGTGGCACACGCAGCTAGGCAAGGCCTTAAATGCCTATATACCAATGCTCGTAGCATGGGGAACAAACAGGAGGAACTCGCCCTCAGAATAGCCAGTTCAGACCCAGACATAATAGGGCTTACAGAAATGTGGTGGGATTCATCCCATGACTAGGCAGTTAGCATTAGGGGCTATAGGCTTTACAGGCGGGATAGAGAAGGAAGGAGAGGTCAAGGAGCAATACACATCCTCTGCCAGCAGAATGGGCTAAGAGGAGGGGCAAGCTGAAGTGCTCTGGG